CCCCAAAACCCCAAAACCCCAAAACCCCAAAACCCCAAGGCTATGAATTCACCAAGAACAATTATAATAATAAATATTCAGAAATGGAATCTTCTCCATTCCCAAATACTTTGTCAAGTTCCTCTCAAGAAAGAATAAAGATGACCGAAGCACATTTGGAGACTAAAGAAGTTAATCTTGAAGTACATGCTTTGGAAGCAAAAACAGCCTCTACCAATGGATTTTACACCCTCGACGATTCAAATTGTTACTTGAACATCAACACAAGTAAATACATCCACCTAAAGATCTTAAAGAATGCTCAACTCAAATTTCCTCCCTGAGATACTATGGAAATAACTTTTGGAAGGAAATCTTCAAGCGATATAATCAGAACAATGCATAAAATATTTCCAAAAAATACAGAAACCTTCTCCTTTTGGTCTCATTCTAATAATAAAAAGGCCAAAAAAGCTTCAAATATTGGTATCTTTCTCAAAGAAATAACCAAAATTTCTTATAAAATTACCAATAACATCCACCTTTTTAATTTCCAAATCAACCAAAAACATCTAAGGAAAATTTTCTACTGATCTAAATAACAAAGAAGGGCTGGATTTGGAAAAATGTAAACTATTGGCAATAATGAATCTGTAACTGTTTTATCGAAGAGAAAGCAGACTCCACAGCTGATTTAGCTTTTAGGGTCTTTACAATGATAATTGATGATAGAACTTGATACTGTTCCGGATCTCTCGAGGGCTCTAGAAGGATGTACTCTTCAAAAGCTCAGCATAACTTTCTCATGGGGTTCTCATCAGAGAAAATGTTCTACCAAATTCCAGTGTTTTGACAACCTCATTAATGGACTGTCTCAAGCCGAAGGAATCCAAGAGTATTTGGAGATAGCTACATTTCGCAATTATAATTTTAAGACTAATAAAATTGCATTATGCTTAGCTAAATATGGATTAACACGTGTAGACTGGTGAGACGGCTTAATGTAAGTCATTAAACCGAATTAGAATCACCATCTGACAAAAAGAGACACTTCTTGAATGCTTAACCTACCCTGAAGAAGAATCTAAGAGATTCACCAAGATTCCAACTTTTCAAATTTAATTTGTAAATAAGGGGTTTTGGGGTTTTGGGGTTTTGGGGTTTTGGGG